ACGATCGGACCTTAGCGGGCTCCCACCCATGTCCTCCCTTAACATGCCGCATAAAAGGAAAAAGTTGACGGAAGCATCGTTGGTCGCATACGATTCACTTATCTTTGACCACGGAGTGAGTGTTTCTTCGGTTCGCAACCATAGAATAGAAAGAATACGGGGGGTGTGGTCAGGCATACACCAGAATAGGCGGACCAGCAACGGGACGGGAAAAGCACTTTAACGAATAGGCATGCGATAATGTCGCGGAAACTACTTTTTTTTCTTGTTGCGGGGGGGTAGGGGGGTTTTGGGCACAAACCATTTTGTCTCCGTTCTCCCTGGTTTTACAAAAACGTCTTGCTCAATGTTTCGGGTTTCAAACTAAATCACGTTATTTATTTGCGTAATTTTCGGTGGGTGAATACAGTGAAGGAAAACCTGAAAACGCCTGGTAAGTGTAAAAATTGCCAAGGCAATATTCTACGAAACATGTCGGCCCAGTGTTAATCTGATAACCAGACCCTAGTAACCTTTTTAGGGCGTGGCGGATGTCGGAGGACCTCAGGAGGTGGATTTCCGGTCGTGGTTTTGCTGTTTGCAGGCCTTTCCTCCAACATTGGTTGGGTCGATTCATCGGAAAACGAAAGACTGCAGTCGTCGTTCGACTCTGGTTCAACGTAAGCAACTTTGAGACGGTCGATTGCGACGGGTTCACGCTTGCCGTTGCGTCCGATGACGAAGAAGCGCTCATTACGTTGTAGAACTTTGAATGGACCTGCATGAGGTCGTTCGAGGGGTCTGCGTAGACCATCGATGCGAATGAAGACAAACATGCTATTAGTGGTTGAAGATCTCTTATGGAACTGAGTAAGACTTGCGATGTCTGCGTCCGCTTACTGCGGTTCCCTTATAGCGAGCGCCTGCGTAGAGTGGTCTAGCTGCGAGCGTAGTGCGCGTCCGTGGCGAGGAGTGTTCGGGCTTTCAGAGAAGTCCGAGGGTAAACGAGTGGTTTGTCCATAGACCAGTTTCCGCGGCTGACGTGTCGGAGTATGCGCTTTCATTGTTGACCGAATACGTAACTGATCACTAGCAGAACTTCTGTCCAACTAAGTGCATTGGCGGCACTTAGCGAGGCTTTAAGCTGTCGGTGGAAACGCTCCACCATTCCGTTTGCTTGAGGATGGTAGGCAGTTGTCCGGATGCGTTTACATCCGAGGACTTTGAGTAGGTCGTTGAAAGTCGACGATTCGAATTGTGGACCACGGTCGGTAGTCACAGTGGCTGGACAGCCATGTGAAGCGACCCAGCGCTCGACGAATGCGCGCGTTATGGTCTCAGCGGATACATCGGGAATTGGAACAGCTTCAGGCCAACGAGTGGCGCGATCCACCATGGTCAGAATGTAGACCATGCCTTTGGACGGCGGAAGTGGTCCAACGATGTCGAGGTGGACGTGAGCGAATCGAGTTGATAGTGACGGGAAGCGTCCTATCGGAGCGGCAACATGTCGATGAACTTTTGCTCGCTGGCAAGTCAGACAGTTGCGTGCCCAAAGTCTGACGTCGCGCTGCATGTTGGGCCAGACGTATCTGTCGGCAATCATCTTGACTGAAGCGCGGACGCCAGGATGCTCGATATTGTGCAGCGTATCGAAGACTTTTCGGCTAAAAGCAGTTGGCACCAGTGGACGCGGATGTCGGTTAGAGACGTACGCACATTATTGTCTGTAGACGAAGGAAGCGGACTAGGTACCACCTTAACGTGGACTCTTCGCAGATGACCTTAAGCCTTTACGGCTCGCTGAGCAGTGGCCATAGCTGACAAACCGAGTGACTGATCGGTCGAGAGCCAGAGAGTATACTCTTGAAAGCGTGTCGCCACGACGTTATCTTGCCAGACACGTGTTGGACGTCCGTCGAAAACTGAGACACGAACTCTAGATGACGAACTTCACACAGAGAGTGTCGGCGCGAAGGTTCCGGAAGGCGTAGACGAGTAGTTTGTGATCTGTAAGATCGTAAAATGATTACCTTCGGGAACGTGACGAAAATGGCGAAGGGCGGAGTATACGGCGAGTAACTCGCGGTCATATGTACTGTATTTCTACTCGGCTGTCCGAAGGGGTTAGGAGAAGGAGACTAGTGGTTGCCAATTACCTTAAGAAAACTGCTGTAGCACAGCGCCGATTGCGCTTCCCAAGGCCTCGACGGTTACACTGATTGGAGCGTTCGAGTTGAAGTGATGAAGCATGACGGCGGAAGCGAGTGTTTCTTTGCTAGGATCGAATGCTTTTCGTGCTTCAGACCTAAGATCAACTTCGCCGTTGTTGCGTCCACTCAGAAGATCGGTGAGCGGTTGCATAAGCTCGACGCAGCGTGGCAGGAATCGGCGATAGTAGTTGACCATGCCGTTGAAGCGTCGAATGGCGAATAGAGTCGTTGGATGAGGAAAGTCCCGAATTGCTTTACTCTGTCCTGCAAATGGCGGATACCCACAGAATCAAGTTGGTGTCCGAGGAAGTCAATGTGCTGCTGCATGAAAATGCACTTGTCGGGGTTGACGGTGACCTTGTGCGCCTTCAACTGTTCGGACAAAAGTTGTAGATGTGTTCGGTATTCCTCTTTCGAAGAACTTGCCACCAGGATGTCGTCGATGTACGAATGGACGAAATCGAGTTCACGTACGACGGATTCGATGAAGCGTTGAAATGTCTGCGCGGCGTTGCGCAGACCGAATGGCATTCGTAGAAACTCATAGTCTAAATGGTGTAATAACGGCGCTTTTCGGTATGTCCTCGTCGGCGACCGGGATCTGATGATAAGTTCGCACCAGATCGATCTTTGAGAGCACGTGAGCGCCATGAAGACCGGCCGTAATATCCTGTATATGAGGGATAGGATAGCGATCCGGAATTGTCACGTTGTTGAGAGGGCGGTAATCGCCACATGGTCGGCAGCCTCCTGACTTTTTCGGGATCATGTGAAAGGGCGAAGACCAAGGACTGCTGGATGGTCGAACTATGCCAAGTTCGAGCATGTGCTCGAATTCCGCGCGGACGGTTTTGAGCTTGTACGGAATCAGTCTTCGGGCTTTGGCGGAGACGGGTGGACCCTTGGTAATTATGTGATACAGCGTAGCTGCGGCTGCAATTGACAGAGACGATGAAGGTCGGAAGACTTCAGGGCAACTCAAGTAGCGCTTTTCCGGCCGGCGAGTTCGTAATGGCGTACACCGGACTGAGCGATGCTACATCGCTGAATATCTCAGCGACGGAAGTCTCGTTGTCTGATCGATGAGATGTCGTTTAGCATCGACGAGCAAGTCGAAGTGCTGAAGAAAATCCATCCCGATCAAGGGATTTTGGACGTCAGCGGCAAGGAATACCCCTCGAAAAGAGCGTCGCAGGCCGAGGTTAGGCGTGCGCGGGCGCTGACCATAGACGCGGATGCTGACGCCGTTGGCTGCGCGTAGAGAACCAGTTACCTTTCCGGTTGCGTCGTTGGGATCCCGTGAAAGCACGCTGACCTCTGCGCCAGTATGGACGAGATAGCGAACTCCCGTTTGTCGATCGGTGACGAAGAATAGGCGACTGTGTTGACCAGCTATGTTTTTCGCCCCTACATGCTAGTGGCCCGTTTCCCCTGCGAGTTGCGTTTGAAGGAACACTTGGCATGCGGGCCAAATCGTTGATGGTACCAGCAGTAGGAAGATATTCGGCTCAGTGATTTTGACGGTGATTTTGATCGAGATGGACGTTGACGATTTGAAGATCGAGATAGGCAGCTACTCTCAGAAGATGTGAAATCGGTAAACTTCTTAGTGAGTGCGTCAATCTGCGCTTTCATCCCGGCGTAGATCGAACTTGCGTAATCTGGCCGTAGGATTCCCAAATTTGGTCTGCGATATCGGCCATCAGCGTTAGGGATGCGCCAGCATTTGCGTAGAGGATATTGCACATTTCACGTAGCAATCTACGCAGCCACCTTTCCTTGAGAAACGTGTCGTCCACCATATCGGCTTTGACTAAACTTTGCATCTTGTGCAATAGCTGCGATGGCTTGAGGTCACCCAACTCCGTTTCGCTCAGAAGCTTCGTGATACGTTGACGATCTGAAAGACCTGTCCTTTTAAGCACCGCTGCTTTAATTTCCTCATAAGTTTTCCTTTCTGCTGGTAACTTGAGGATATCGCCGATATCATCGGCGACTTGCGGCGGAAACGCGGAGACGACGTGGAGATATTTGATTCTTTCTTATCTAATACCATGAAGTTCGAAAAGTGCCTCTAACTGAGCAAACCAATGTTTTGGATTGTTTTCGCGGAAGGGCAGAGTGGCGATGGTTACATGTTCAACCTGGCGGTCGAGGGCTAGGTGACACGTATCCATAACAGGGAACTGCTACAAAGTAAGCGATATGGAACCCGAAATATGCACACAAATATGCAAATGGATGGACGTACCGCAAAATTGAACGAACCTGGAAAGAAAAAATTAGTAAGTGGCTTACTAAATTTTCGGTCGGGGTCACCAGTTATAGCGGAATCTTTCGGTCGCTATATATCAGGTTCGTCACGTCTCAAGGAAAAGTCGGTAAAAGACGGATATATGGGCGAGATAGACGTTTATTGTCGAAACGCACAATCCCGCTAGCTGAAAGCACCGCAAAATGGTTCTAGCTAGGGGAAAGGTATAATCGCCAGCCGCGACGCAGCAAACGCCCTTCGAGGCTGAAAAAGCAGATGCGCGCTTCTGCGATTCGTCTGGATGACTCAAACAGACGTAGTCATCGTGCGAGCAGCCAAGCTTCCTAAGTTGTCTATGTGCAGAGCGATATAATATTTTAATAAAATTTTACACAGACAAACAGGATAATCTCCAGGTCACTACAGCCTTCGTTACAGAAGTAGCACGGATACTGTGATGTTGGCTGGCGATCTGAATACCCAAGTCGGATAGTTGTCCTCTGATGAGTTTCATCTGAGCTGCCAACATGGTGTAGGCTCCTGTAATGATAACGATGAGCGCTTGCTACAGCTGTGTGAAGATGCTCGCCTTTTGCGAGCACAAACTTTCAACACAGCACCCGCAGAATCGTGACTTGGCGCCTACCAGCTTCGCACCGGCCATGAACTCAAATTGATCATTTCGCGCTCATTTATTGCTGGAGAGGCTGTGTCCAAAACTGTCGCTGGATTTGGAGCACGACCGTAGACTCTGACGACGCACTTGTCTGCGCCGACCTCGGGGTGCGTTTCTGTGGACTTCTGCAACATCGATGTGAACGGATTGACACCAGCCAGCTGGCAAAGCCAGGTGTTCTGAATGTGTATCAAAGGGCGCTGACATCCGGGCTGAGTAAGCGCCCGCTGAACACCGTCGATGATCACTGGTCTCATATTCGTCAGACGTTCCTATCAGCAGTCATATCTTCACATGGCAAATCAAATTGCCAAACTGGACATTGGGTCCGTACGCAGTCTCTGGAACTTATGGATGCTCGCAGACGTATTCCGGCTGGAAGCGAATACAATGAGGCTCGCAAAAATCTCAGGGTAAAATTACGTGCTAGCCTGAAGAAAGATCTCGAAGCCTGGTAGTCTTTTCGTGCCTCAGAGATAGAAACAGCCGCTACCGTTGGTAATCATCGTTAGTTATTCCGTCTGATACGGGAAAAAGATAGCAGGAGACCTGGTGTTAGCGAGACCATACGCGACGAGAGTGGGCATCCAATCCACAGCATGTCAAAACGCTTGGAGCATTGGACTGAACACATTGCAAGGCAATTTAACCAACCCGCTCGGGCATTGAGCGCCCTTCTCCCTGGGCCGTCTCCTCGGATCCGATCTTGCGCTCCGAAGTCGAATGTTAGATCAGGCTGTTGAAATTGCATAAGGCCACAGGGTCGGATAGAATTCCCTCAGCCCTCTTAAAATTCGGGGACCTGCTCTGGTAGATGATTTACACAAGTTGCTAATAAAACTTTGGCAGCAGGAGAGTGTCCCGACAGACTGGAGCCGCTCCGTCATTGTCCCCATTTGCAAGGGAGGCTCCTGTTCGGAATGCTATAATCATAGTGGGGTCAGTCTGATCTCAATTGGCTCTAAATTGCTTGCGTCTGTCATCCTCCACAGACTGACTGGCATTCGTGAAAGCCAGGTTCGTGAAGAGCAAGTCGGGTTTCGTCGAGGTGGGGGCTGCATCGACCACATCTACACCTTGCGTCGACCGGTGGCCGAGTGGTCTGCGCGTTTGGTTTGCAACCATAAGGTCACCGGTTCGAATCCGATATTGATGAAGTCATGCAAACAGCGTTCGCTGGACACGATCTAAGAGGTGTAGAGCTACTTCCGGGTGAGCGGCTTCTTGACTTGGAATACGCGGACGATATTATCCTAACCTGTGATAGCTCCCAAACATGTCAAGCAGCACTGGACCGATTAGCACTGGCTGTCTGTCATTTTGGGCTACGCTTTACTCCATCAAAATGCGAAGTACTTCACCAAGATTGGCAGGGACCCACCCCTGCTCTAATGCTTGATGGTGATCAGATAGAACTCATTCAGGAATTCAAGTACCTGGGGAGCTATATTAGCATCCGTGAGATCGCCGATGAGGTTACGAACCGTATAGCGAAAGCTCGAGGTGCTTTTGTCAATCTTCGCCACCTGTGGCGCAGACGCGACATTACTCTCCCCCTGAAGGGCAGAGTTTATAACACCGCCGTCCGTTCATCTCTCCTATATGGTTGTGAAACCTGGCCCATCAGGTTGACAGACAAAGAGGCTAGCCACGTTCGATCATCCCTGCCTTCGCAGTTTAGCTCATGTCTGATGGGAGCACTGCGTGAGCAATGAGCGTGTTCGGCGTCGCGTATTTGGTGCAGGAAGAGCGAGTGAACCGCTCTGCACCATCATATCACGCACCAGGCTCCGATGGCTGGGCCACATGTTGCGCATGCCAGCACACTGACTCCCGCGACGTGCATTGTTTGCGCGTTGTGGGTGCGGTTGGAAGAGGAGGAGAGGACGCCAAGCGATGACTTGGTCGAGAAAGATGAAAACCCTCACTTCGAAGTTGGCGTCGGTTGGTGCATCCCGACTGCCTGGCTGGGGTCCTAAGGACGGTGAACACGTTCGGTTGGACACACTTGTTGTTATGACTAGGAGACGGTCCCAATGGCGTTTGTGTTGTGAGTTCCCTTGTCCATGTCCTCCTGCTTAGCCTCCCCCTCCAATCACGATCTCATTCGCTAGGCATAATATAACTTTTTACGGCACGATAGCCGGCTGTTGGCTCTCCGGAACGATGTCCATCCCTTACTGGAGACTCAGCCAGCGTTCCACTGTTGTATTTCTTTCTTCTTTTTGTCCTTAGTATTACGGCACAATAGCTGAGGTGTTTTCCACCTGCAGCTAACGTGTACACTAATGTTGATGGTGACATTTTACTCAGTTGCATCATCTTGACAAACACTGCGCTCCAGTCTCCAGACATCATGTACTGAGAGGTCGTACTAACCGCCAAACACTCCAGCTGTCATGGTATCATTTACCCCCCAACTAACAACTCCACCGAGAAGGACGCACTATTACTGCACAGTGCCCACCTTATTTTATCCCACAAGCGCACATAGTTTCTCATCATCGGAGATTTCAACCTGCCCCTTCTATTTTATTCTGTTCCGTCTACTGACTCCTTTGTCTCACACCTTATTGATATTTTTCACACGGTCCCGTTGTATAACCACATCTATCGGCCGATCAAGTTCCGATCCAACAACCAACCATCCCTGCTAGATGTCTTCCTCACTAAGGAAAAGCTGATGGTTGAGCACGTTGAGTATGAGACCCCTCTGGGGCTCAGCGACCACTGCGTCCTTCGTTTCACTATAATTTGCTTCGCCGAAAAACCCGTCAGCACGCCAACTTACACCAAACGCTGGACTGATTACGGAACTTGGACCTTCTCATTTCCGCTAACAGCTGGTCACCCTAGCCCAAATCGAGTGCCGACAGCGTGTGGCCAATCTTTTGCCTTACCCTACGTAAACTCTGCTCCACTATCACGACCTGCAAAACGTTCCTATAGGGAAGAGACACCCACCACTCATCCGAAGTCGTACACGGAAGTGGATTGCCTCCAGGTACACGGCATGGAGAGACTATCGCTCCC